GGGGGGGGGGGGGGGGCACAAGACTGTTGTTATGTCATGAAATCTTGTGGTCGTGTTGTGTGGGAGGGCGAGAGGCCGGGAGGGCCTTCGGGGTGAAAGAGTGCTCGCCTTGGATATCAGCGCTAATCGGCAGCTGAAAAACAAACAACAAAAGCAACAACAGCAACAGTAACAACAACAACAACAACAACAACAACAACAACAATAGCATCTACCACAACAGCGACTTACAACCACCACAGGCATCCGCAACCCTCAACAGCCACGAACCTGCGGGATGACGGGGAGGACCTTGTCCGGAGCACCCTCGATCATGTCCACAGTCCCCTGGACCGCGAGGAAACGGTACGGGTCTTCCACCTGCCTCGAGCACACGTACATACATACCAAACAGCAAGACGTGACCAGACCTGTCGGAAGAACGATAACGATATGTCGAGAAAGAATCGAGTTTCCTCGGAGGTTTCGTGTCTCCCTCTTCTATTCTCGGTCATGGGGTTTGATTGGATTTCTCAGGTCGGTGGTGGTCTAAACGAATAGGCAATGGACACCACGTGGAGATTGATTTCGGAACTTCGGCGTCTAATGCATATTATTCGTGTCCAGCCGTTGTCCAAACGGTCCAGGGGATGGTAGCAGATTGCACGAGGCAGGCAGAAGTTTGGGGTCGTTGATGTACCATTCTCGCCTATAGCGTACTCCGAGACGCGTCCTGGACGACCAGTCAGTCTCTAAACAGTCAAAGAAACCCACGAACTCTTAAGGAAAGAATCCCCACTTAAAATAGCTTGCCTCTCTCAAACCATCGAAGAATATGGGCAGGTAGACGTGGAAGTCGAGGTCGGCGGGTCGGATCTTCCAACGGATTGCGTTCCGGTGTCCGCAGTGGTCCACGCTGATCGGGAGGTCCCCCCTCACGTAGTACTTGCGGAAGAGCGTTGCGGCTATTGCCCGCCGACGCCACGCGCCTGTTTAGTGGTTGGGAAAAAAAGACAACAAAAACGCGCCGACGGTTATCAACGGCAGTTTTGGGCCTCGTGTTCCTGCTGAGTGTTTGGTGATGGGCCGGCAAATACTGTTCGTGAAACGACGATCAACGATGGAATAACGGCCGGTAGAACAGACCGGCACCAGTAGCAGCAAGCAACAACAAACACTTCTCATCACCATCATCGTCAATAACAACAGCAGCAACACCAACAACGGGCAAGTCACCATCAACATCAACAGCAAGAGCAACATACATATATGTCGCCACAGGAAACGGCAGCGGTAACCGCGACCACAACATCAAAGCAGTACCAACGCCAACGATAACAAGGAATAGAGAGAGAAACGTGCCAACGCACCAACCGACACCGCATGATTGGGGATGAACAGTATCGCGGCGAAAGGGTCGTGCTCTGTCCAGTCCACCGGACGGGACACAAAAACAAGGATTCACAGCGCTACAGGTCGCCTTCCTCTGGATTGGCTTGTTCCTACAGTAGTTAATATTCGGGGGTTCGGGGGCGAGGAAGCGACCAAACACCCACATGAACGCACACAATCACGACGCCCCCCCACGGGGTCCCAGACCATGGCCTCTACAAGCATTATGTGTTTTCAACCACACTGAGATCGACGTCTTTTTCATCGGTCAGCCGGCTGGCGCGGTCGATGGTACGAGTAACAAAACACGCACCCTGTCAGTAAAACCCTTGAATAGAAAAAGCGTATATGTACATCTTCACTGACCACATTCTCACCGGCTTTGGGGGGGGCGGGGGCGCGGCGTCGACGGACGCTAGCCGGTGCGCTGAGAGGCCTGCTGTTGGTGGCCCTCGCCGCCTCTAGACTGGCCATGAGCTTCGACGGGGTGATGCGGAACTTGCCTTGGGTCAGCAGGTACGTTCGCGTCGCCTGTTGCACGCGAGATGCGTTTTTTAGCGAACGATTTGTGTTGTCTCTTGTATGTACTCTGGTAGTGATGATATTGCGCTTACTTCCTTGTCCGTTTGTCCGTTTGTCCGTTTGTCCGTTTCCGTTCCTTATACTTTTCCCTTTCCTTTTTTTCTTCTGTTGCCTTGTCCTGTTTCTTCTTCTCCTTTTCCTTCTTCTGACATCCGTCCTGCATGCACCCACCAAAGCAAAAGAGATACCAGCGACGCGTTTGTTTGCAACATCTCCTATCCCCCATTTGTTTCGTCGAATTCGTTATTTCTAACCGACGTGTTGACCGTGCTGTGCCCTTTCATACCATGCAGCAATGCCAGCGAAGAAGAAGGCGCCCAATGCCGTCGGGATCGACTCCGACAGCCACATTCTTCTTCCTTGTCGTTGATTCACCAGACGAAACTAAAAAGCTTTTACGCTCACGTTGGATGGATGGGTCGACACAGGAGCTCCGAAACCTCGCGTGATGTGCGCAGCTTGGTTTCGTCCAACCTACACATTCTGGGAGCCAACCTACACGTTGTACTCCGGATTATATGATTGACACACCACAACCGGGAGCACGCATGATACAAGCAAAAACGTGGACCATACGCGTGGAAGATTCGTGAATCGGACGCACCTCTAATTCCTGGCGGTCCGGGAGATCCTCAAGTACGACCCCCCCTCCCTTCCGACCTCGCGAAGTCGGCCTCGCCCCCGCCGTCTTAGGCCTGACCCTCGTCGCCTTTCTGCCTTTTTCCGTTGATGCCAGTGACGGCACCCCCCCTTCTCCTCGCCGTTCTGCTGTCCGCGTCTCCCCCCCCGGGTCTCGCTGCTGCTGCTGCTGCTGCTGCTGCCTCTGTTCCCATGGGGGCCGTGACGGCGCGCGGTGGGTGTGCGCCGAACGCCGTTTGAGGCAAACGACATGTGCGCGTGCAGGAAGGCCACAAGATTGTTAATAGCACCCAGGTTTGGTGGTGACTAGGTCGACAGGTTACCCGTGGGGTTAAGAGCAGACCCCCCCCCGCCTGTGTCGTGCCAAACCAGCTCTGTTGTACAAAATATAATATTGGTTTTGCAGCAGGTTGTTGACATGGACGTCCGGACCTCAATATATCTCTCACCAATATCCTCTGTCCAAGTCATCGTTATTTTCTTGTTCAAAGAGGTGTCCATTCCATGAATAAACCGTGCCCACGAAACAGGCCGGGGTTATCTGAACGGACACACAACACGTATCCTCACGTTGGAAAGCACGCCTCCACTCCCCAAAAGACCTCACTAAGGCGACCGCCAACTTGCCGTGAGTAGACATATAGACGGCAGCCCTATGCCAAAAGGCCGAAATAAAAAACATTACTCAACCTCCCTCGGACTAGATAGTGAACACTTCTCAACCGCCCTAGGACTAAATAGCAGCGTTTTACCCTTGAAAAGGTTCTACTCAAATAAACTGTTAATAGTCCGAAAACCATATTTTATACCGTGGACGACCCGTGGACTTCCAGGAAGGGCCGGGACCGAGACATCGACGCAGACTTGGGCCTGGCCCCACCACCACCACCGGTACCCCCACCCAACCCCCTCCCGCGCGTCGCCGGCTCCATCCGCGGAGCCCCGCTTGCTGCCAACCCGGAGCGGCCGACTTCGCTGCTTCCGGAGTAGGTGCTTGATCGGCGGTACGAGCCGGCGGTGGCAGGGCGGGCACCGACCCCCGGGATGACTCCCGACTTCTCTCTCACATCCTAATGCAGCACGGAGAAGAACATAATTAATTGCAGGGAGGTTGGGGGCGGACGGCCGGGGTCAATTTCCGGCCGTGTCTAGCAGCGAAGGAGGGTACCGTTGGGTGGGCTGGGTTTAGAGACAGATGTGGCTGGCCGAGAAGTCACACAATAAACATCGAGCAATAGAGAGAGAAAGCTTCGGCAAGATGAGCAGGAGAGTTCGATTGAGAGGTTCACAGGGAAAAGTGTCTTTTGACCCAATGAACCACCCGGTTGAGCATCTATTCCGTCAGGATGATGTTTGTGCCCCCCTTCAATACTTCTCGTTGCGGTGGAATACGGGTAGCAGTGTTGCCCCCGGGGTAGATCCACAGGTCGTCGTGTTTTGGACGGTGTTCCCCCCCTCACGTTTGAAGCCCAATTAAATCCAAAGCATCTGGTCTCCCAGACGCTGGCGCTTAAGGCCGTTCTGACGGGTGTTGTCACAACCACCCGACCACCATGCACGGAGCTTGCACACTCTTTTCTCTTTCCAACACATAACAATCCCAAAGACAACACCGTCGATTGTATTCTCCGCGACGCAGGTCTTTTCGCCTTCTCGGCTGTAGAGACAGCTTCGACGCTCTTCAACTCCCATCTCTTTTGCTCGCAAGCAACCTTCTTCCTCTCACCGAACCCTTTGGCCGGCGGGTCTTGGTGGGGGACCGCTGCGGGGATGTGTAAGAGGTTCGGGAGTCGCGGCGCAGAGTCGGGTTTCCGTCCCAGGCGTCCTTCGTCTTGTACTGCATCGGAAAATTCCCGAAGCAGGAATCCACTCCCTTGGGCATGTGCCTGCGGTGCCACACGCGCACGAGGATTGATGATTTGCGTTTTTTTTTGTGTCAGCATACACGAATGGCAGCAACTCGCCGCCTGTTGTTCAAGCCTTCCCGCCGACAAGTGGAGGTCAAGCTGCAGCAAGATTGACATAAAGTTCAGTAAGTAGTGGGGTTCGGTGCTTACTCGAAAAAGTTGGAAGACACACCGTAAGTATCGGGTAACAAGCACCATAGGAGATATCGGCACGAATTACCAACGAAACCATCGTAAAATTTAGCGTACACACACACTTTCGGTAGGATATACTTGTATCCTTACGGCGCTCTTTATCCAGCACGTCGCCCTTGTGCGGGCCGGTGCTGCTGTAGAATGCTGCATTTTAACAATCATATCAGCACACCGCGTCGGAAAAGTTGGAGCATTTGAAGGGAGGAGGGACCCAACAGCTAGCTAGGTAGGGCCGGGAGCGAGTTTACCTCAAAGGTCGCAAGTCACTCAGAGCTAAAATGAACCGAAATGACCGGAAAACCATTGTACCCTTGGGTGAAGAGGCTGTGGAAACTTCAACTCTCCTTGCACACATTTCTGAAGGGATCTAAAGAAACGATTGTTTGCACGGGTATGGTATTGTCAAACAGGTTGTTGGCGGTCGGTACCGCGTGCCACCATCGCGATATTGTTAACTCTAGTAAAAAAAATGTGATAGCGCAATATCCCATGCCATAGAGATATTGGAACCCAATATTTTGCGCATACGCAGGTTAACAATTAGCTTGTGACGGAGCTCTTATTTAATCGAGGGTACAGCAGTAGTAGTAACCGTGGCCGCGTCCTCTCTTAGACTATATATAGTCTATAGGGTAGGTGACGACCTCGTAGCCATCACACCGCCAGCCTCGAAATAAGAGGCAACGGAATGTACCCGTAACATCGAAATATTCGACACGTGGCACAGCATCAAACCCAGCCGATACACCGATACGATATTGTACGAGAACAACCTCTGTACATGTAGCCTACATTCATTGTAGCCGGCGAAAGAACCTGAAATAAATGTACAAGGTTGGTTGGTTATCGTACCTTCGCGAAATGGGTTTCTCTCCTCGGAAGCGCTTCGATATGTAGTCTTGCACGATCATGGAGGATGCAATGGTCGAGTCTCTTGGAACGGTGGGAACTCCAACATAGCTCATGCTGCCGATCAACTGGCCAGCTGCCCTACTGGTGTAGTATTGGTCCCTCAGCTGCCTGCGGGCACGATTCTCAATCAAATCGCGTACAGTCCCGTCCGTCCCGGACTCCCCGAGGTTCGATATTCGGACACGCGGTGCTCGTCGAGCAACCAAAGACTAACCCCCTTCTTCCTTCCAATTGGGTAGTGGTTGTCAAGCTAGGCCTAAGTGCCCGTGTCTGAGATGGAACAACAAACGGCAGCGCGCGCCGCGTGCCGCGTGCCGCACAGGGAACGGGGAACAGCATGCGGTGGAATTAAAATTGAAACGTCAGCCCGGATGCGGGATAACCCTTGCCGGTTCGTGGGATCGGGCTGACCTGGAACCTGGATTGAGTTGGCAGTTGGCAGTTGGCAGTTTGAGTTGGCATGTTACATAGCATCCCTCAGCTCAATCTCTCAGTGGTAGGTCCTTCACACTGTCATATATATCTCACAGCACTCCTGTGGTCCTCTCGCTCCGCGCGAAATCTGTATTCTCACGTGTTACTGAGGCTAGACCTCCATCACTCCGTCCATCACTCCGCTGCGACACATGGCGCACTGCATCCCACCTCCAGACTTACCGTTTGGCACCAACGCCGCAGACTCCGCTGCCATGGATGGGATCACAGCTCAAGATTTTTTAGGTGTGGAAATAAGGAAATTTTCATGTGTGGTGTTGTTCGATCTGAGCAGCAAGGCTTGCCCAATGTAGACCGGTCGCAGGACGCATGGTTGACAGAACAACACAAGAGGCTTGGGCTATGCTCTCAGCGTAATCTGTTTTGTTCATCGTAGGACGCTCTTTGGTCCCCACATACTGTAACTCATGGAGAATATATTTCCAGCCGTCTTCGCTCCTCACGCTCGTTCGAATCTTTCCCAGAGAACCCCGAACTCAAGGTGTACGTCGAGGACGCCCTTCGACTTGTGCTTGCCGCCCGACCTGAGAAACCCCTGGACCTCATTCACGACTATTTGGAGAGGTACCGGACGTTCATAGTAAAATCACGTATCCTGTTTTACAGGGTCCACATTATGTGCTGTCATGCCACATAACCTTGGTCAAACACCCTGATGGTTGCTGTGTGTATTTTTTTATTAGCATTGACCGCTCTAACCGGCTGACCAATGAAAATACGTCAGTCTCAGTGTATAGTAAGTATGTATGAGATGGGTGTCCCCAGCCCCATCGCACTATCACATCACCGCCGATTCTGGTCGCGCTCCCGTCGCCTGGTCGCTGCTTAAAACCCCATCCACCAACGGCAATGAAAACAAGCGTGCTGAGTCAAGACAACGTGGTTGGGAGGGAGTATGCCTACGTCAATGCCACCACGCGCAACCGCCGGGCCTTCGTGCGCGCCGTACATGAGGTGGCGTAAAAATGTGTCCAAGTTACTTACAATATAAATATCGAGTTTCATTGTCGGATTATTAGTCATCAAAGGGGAAAACGTTGACATTTAAATGTGCTCCGGCGCTTTAGGTTACAAATAATTGCTAGCATTCGTCGATACTATACTTCACACTCCCCCCCCTCCTCTTTCCTACCCGAAGTTGGGCGAATCAAACATGATCTTCTAAGCAAAACAAGGCAGGAATATCTCCCCGTATTCTGCTAGGGTGAGGTTTAACGCTCAGCGAATACCAAAGCCTCACACAAGTTTGGATTTGGAAGATAAATATTTATGCCGGACTCGTATCCCCTGCTGAAACTTGTCTATTAGGGCTCGGGCGGGAGAAGCTTCTGTCTCGGTTTAGCATGCGCGCACTTTGGCCACGTTCCAAGCCGGCAACGCGCTGTTTAAAGCTACGAACATTGCCGTCTGTGTCCCTTACCGTACAACAGATGTTCGGTGAGCCCGGCAATGTCACAACGGCCGGTGCCGACGGGGGTGGGTTCGAGCAGAAGGATGTCGTTCATCTTTTCGGACTTGTCTGTCAAGACTTTCCGGAGGAGATTGTGGTCCGGGTGGGTGTTTTTTTCTCTTGCCATAATGCGTGGCAGGTGAATCGAGGACAAAGAGCACACGCGGAGACACGCAGCATGATACCGTAGACTCTTTAAGGGTGGCAACGACTAAGAGGCAATAGGTTAGGTATTGGGTCGAACAAAACTTGCTGCACACCGACCGTTTTTCCTGTCTGTGCGAACATTTTCTGGGCCATGTTGCTCTGTGTCAACACAGGTGGCCAGAATCCTGTCCGAGGGATCAAGGTATGTCCGCAGCCCTCCCGGAACGGGGGCATCGCCCATACCATCAGCGAAATCGGAGGTATCAGGGGCAGCAGCAGCAGCAGCAGCAGTAGCCTCCCCGACAACGGTTGGGGTTCGCAGCGACAACAATTGCAGGATCACGCCGTCTGGGGCTGATGATGCCGGCGCTGTCGCCGATGCCCCCACCCAAGAAGCCGACGGTGTGAAGTCGCTTCCCTTCGCAGTGTTCCTTCGCGCGTGCATCGTCTACTTTTGCTTCCAGGTATAGGTCTGCTAGTAGTGCTCTTTGTGGGGCCCCACTTTGTGGTGCTGTGGCGAAGAAGGAGGTCGTGAAATCCCCACTATTGTCTTCGGTCTCCCACAAGCTTTTCGTAGGAGAACATGAGTATAGGGAGGCTCGGGGACTCCTTTCCATTGACGCTTGTCGTTATGCTATACCAAGGTTTGTACTAGACCAAGTGTATAAAACGCAACCCTATTTTGCATTGATGGAACGTTCTTCTTTGTTTTGAAAAAGCTTCTGGGCTGGGTTTGGTCCGCACGCCACATATCGTATGCTTGGAGGCGGACAGTTCACTGTCAGAAGCGCAGAACAAATGTTGACCCCAGGACCTTGATATGTATTTGACAGAATTAGAGAGCACACGGGGAGAGCGAGGTGCCCTGCCGGGGGCCCTGCCGCCGAACTTCCCTGCCGCCACACACAAGCATCCACGTAACCCCCGAAATCTCGTAGATCCGTACCATCTAGTAGCCCGAACATGGTAGTATTCACGACCGAGGCCCATCCTTCAATAAGATCGTATCCTCTGCGCGGCCAAAATCGTGCAATCGACACCGCACCGCGTTCGATCGGGCAGGAGTTCTTTGAGGACATACACACGCTCTTCGGCTCCTTAGCGTTCAGGTCGGACAGGCGCAGGAGCATCAGCAGCTTCGCGGGAGGCAGGGGAGACGGCGGCACGAAAGAGAGAGCCGCGCGGGAGGTCAACCTCCGAATACTCTTAGACCAGCTCCAGGTCATGAAAGCGGAGCCGCGGAACCACTTGAGGTACAATATACACCACACCCCGCAGTAGGACATGCCTCGTATGCTATCTGTTGAGACCGGATCAGTATTGCTGGGATGTTCAAGATGTCCGAGTCACGGATGAAAGTGTCGTTGTAGCATGACGCAGTCGGTACAACAGCTTCTCAAGGTGCACTACTATGATGATAGCGCCTACAGAGCCTCGTCGGGCAGCAGCTGTGCCGTGTGACATCAGAAGTGCATCCAAACTCCCTCCAACCGCCCCAGTACTCCGCCCCGCCCCGGTGGGCACCAAGTTGATCTTTGTCGTGACCCAAAACGTCTATTTCGCCGGGGATTGCGTAGTAATATTGCGTGTGGTAGACGTGCGCGGCACAGGGATGGAGGGTAGAGATGGTAGTCTTGCCTGGGTGTTGCAAGTTAGGTTCTGGTTCCTGGTGCCGAGGCTAAAAACGTTCTTGAACTCATGAAAGGTTTGGTTGGGTGGGTTGGCAGAGAATCGAAGCACTCGCTCGCGTGTAGTCTAAATAGCTGAGTTTCTGCTTCGGGGAGACACCCTTGCTACGGCGTCCTACTTGGGTGCTTCGGGAGATGCCGTACTCAGGTAGGGTTCAAGAGCGGCTTATCCAGGTCGAAAGAACCGTATGAGGCCGACCACACGACGTTGGGTGTACTCAGTTCTGGTCAACCATCACGTTACAGGTACGCGTGGAAGCAAGCATGGTTTTTACGGCCTGACCACGCATGATACCCCTCCGGCGCATCTGAGTCCATCCACAGTAATGTGCACCCCTGCACCTTCTTTCACACACACACACATACACACGCGCGCGCGTGTCCGCCTGCCTCCCTCCATCCATAACACCATGGATGGATGATCACCATACCAGATACATCGACGTCAGATCCACCGAGGAGGCGGTGCGAAGGGGGGGACTGGGGGAGCGAGCCACCCTGCCAGCCTTCTTGGCGTGTCTACTGCTACACTCGGACGACGTGGCATCGGCCCTGTTGGAGAAGCCTCCCATGGACGGTTACACCGACCGCCTGGTAGGACTCAGACTCCAAAAGCGCAATGAAATAACATGCGGATAGGGGGGGGGGGGAGGGCTTTTTCTA